GTCTTTTTTGCTATTGTTATTTTGCTATTGTTATTTTGCTGTTTTTTTTTTTTTTTTTTTTGCTCGACACTGCACTTTTTTTAACAGGGGCCTGTGCCCAAGGCTGATTACATCGACAGTCACCAATGACAGGGACGACCAGGCTGTCCAGCCCCACCAGGAGCTCAGAGCCCTACCCCTGCACCCACAATCTTCATACCCAACATTGACGCACGCTCGGCGCTGACTCTTCGGGACATTTCCGCAGGCCACAACCATTTCATAGTTCCATACAAGGCCGCAGGAGGTATGTCCGTGGTCCGGTTGGTGATGTCCACTCAAGAGGCGTCGTGGTGCACAGCCGAAGGGCCCGAATACGTCGGCTCTGAGAAAAAAAATAAATGGAAAGGCAAGGATGCCCCCATCAAAAATTCGAAATTCTAATTCCGTGGAGTGACGACGGCAAGGCGGCGCACCGGATGTCCTCGCGTGGGGGCAGAGGAGTGCATGGCTCGTTTCGCTGGGGGGTGGTGGGCTCTACTAGTGACGAAGCCGGCGTGCAGCATGCACTGTTCCTTCGTCAGCTGGGCTCATTAAGCGGCTTCGCACGGAGGCTTGGAGGGTAATCGCAGAGTTGGTGAAGCCGTTCAATGTGCCATCACCACTCATTCTCACCAGGACAAAGCGCGAAGTGCATGGCAAGTGTGTGGCGCGCGGACGTCATCTCCCGAGGAGGAGCCCCGCTATATGAGGAGGCAGTGTTGGTGGAGACGACGTGCTCTCGCAGTTCGTCGGCAATGGAGGGTAGTGGTGGAGAAGGTCGTGCTGTGCTGATGTCCGTGGAGAAGACGACGGTGGCGGCGGCGGCACGGGCTGTTGCCGTGCAGCGCGAGGTGGAGAGAACATCCGCGCGCATCGAGGCAAAGTTGTCGAGGCAGAGGTGTCTGCTGCTCATACAAAGAGTGCTTCACATCCTTGACTGTGTGGCAACTTCAGAGGCAATCGTCCAATTGTGCGAAGTGCAGGGTTCCAATATGCTCCCTCACGTAACGCCAAGATGGTGGATGGAACGTAGAGCGGGGGGGAAGTGGAAGATTTACGGGTGCACGATAACGCGGCAGACGACTACTTCCGAGATAAGCTGCACATGTCCTGCAAAGTGTTCAGGGAGATCATAGAGGCATGTGTGCCGCATCTGCAACGACAAGTTACGTTTACAGGGAGCCGTTACGGCCCGGGCAGATCGACGCGTACGCACTCTACCGATGGGCGTCAGGTGAAACGTACGACAACAACACATCCTCCATCGGCATCGGCAGAGCGTTGGGCCTCATGACTGTCGATAACGTCACCACCGCTCCTCTATTGAGGGTGTGTGCGGACAAGATTGCATGGCCGACTGGACTGCGAAAGCACGTTGTCTTGCGGGCATTTGCGGAGAAAGGGTTCTAGGTCGACAAGCCGGTGAATGCTCCCAGCGAGAACTACTTCAACCGCAAGCATCGTTTCTCCGTCATTGCGCAAGTGGTGATGGACCTGGACTTGCACGTGCTCGATGTGCAGATGGATACCATGGTAGCTCCCACGACATCCGTGTCATCCAGTTGTCCAGTTTGTGGAAGCGTGGAGAAGAGGGGTCGTTTTTCCGCGGGCCGTCGGTGGCGCTACTGGGCGGGGTGCTGATGAATGGGTACATCCTTGGCGACAACAAGTACCACCCTTCTCAATGGATAGTAGTCTCTTGTGGAGGAATCAATCAGCACCCTGACAAGGAGCGCTTCGGCTCGGAACATATGCTGGCCAAAGGGGTTGTGGGGTGGGCCTTCGGGAGGTTGAAGGGCATGTGGAGGTTGTTCCAGCACATGAACAAGACACATTTGGAGACTCTACCGCAACAATTTGTGGCCGTCTGCATATTCCACAACGTCCTCCTGGATGCTGGCATCGAGTTCGACGAAGGTCTGCTGTCGGAAGTTGACGGGAACGGAGTGCGACGACAAGTGGACCTCGGCATCCATCGCCCCCGGCTGCCTGTCGTCATGACGGCTTCGACGAACGAGGCATACATCTGTGGCCGATAGGTGTTCTCGCTGCTTTTTTGATTCATTCATCATTTGTTATCACCTTTTCGCAGACATTCTCTTTTCTGTGTATGGGACGTTGGACCCGTTTTCCAGCAGGTGACGCTCCCCACCAATAGATGGAGCCTCTCCCCAGGTGTTAGTGGTGTCTGTTCTTATCAGCAGCACTAACAATGGTGGGGGTGTTTTTGCGGGGGAAAAAAAAAAAAAAAAAAAGTATGCTTGCAAATTTTTTTTCTTCGTTGTGCTTGATGACACAAACAAGTTGTTGTTCGAAAACCGCAATGGGAATGCATGTGTGCTCGCGAAATATTTTTCGTCGTTGTCCTTCGTTGTTTTTCGTCTCCCCTGCTCATAGTTTTCCCTGTCATTCGTGCTTGGCGTGGTCGTCCTCCAACGAATGGACTTTGTTTTTTTTTTTTTTTTTTTTTTTTTTTAAACATCCGTTGGGATTGTTACCTGAGTTGATACGAGCATCATCAGGTACCATGCCCCTACGGTGGCTCCTTTCTATTGGTGGGGAGCTGCACCTGCTGGAAAACGGGTCCAGCATCCCCAAAAATACATTGCATTGAGTGTATGATAAAAAAGGCAGGGAAGCCTCTTTTGTCCCAGAGGGTCCGCTAGATGTCACTTGTCGTCCAAGCTCCGTACCCATCCATCATCTATTGGATCTTAGCGTCATCTTACCCCTCCCTACCATACCATTGCAAATCAACCAGGGAGAGTTGCGAAGGAGGAAAGAGATCTGGGAAACAATCAGGAGGTATGAGGGAGTCTCCGGGCTGAAGCGTATACCAGTTACGAAAAACAAGTTGGAAATCCCGTTGAAGATGACCGGCTGTTTCTTCCGCCCCTGGCCAGCATACCTCACTCAATCCCCTCCCTGCAATTCCCTCAAGCCAGTCCAAATTAAATTTCTGGATATGTTGCAAAATATATTTTTTTTTGTGACAAAACATTAATTTGGTTTTAAGATTCGACCAGTGAGCCCTGATTTCTGTTTGTATGATATGGACAATAAGTTCAGCAACCTCTAGACCTTCTAAACGGACTCCTCTTACTCTTACACAACGTCTGTACCATATGGTCCATAATACAACTTTACGGTCAATTTAAAAAAGGTTACTCTGAAAATTTGAAAGAGAGAAATCGAGTGGATCCCACCTACCCAGTAAAATTGCCTTCCAATCCCACGACCAGTCCTCCCCTGTTAGACTTCTCCAGATGCAGTCTCATCTTCTATATAAGAGGACCGAGCCTGGATATTGCAAAAAAATATGTTCGATGGTTTTCCGCATTTTCCTCCAGGAAAAAGTTGATAAACAAAAAGGACACCAAGGAGTGGCTAAACCTTGTTGTTCCAGTGACGAATGGTCAACTAGCCAATCATTAGCAGGTAGGCAGCGATGAGTGATCTGCCACTGGAGGGATGAACGATGTTTTCGTTAAAAGTGAAATTGTTTTCATGTTCACTTTTTTTTCAAGTGTAAAATAACACATATAAGAGAGGAAGAAATGAGGAAAATAGCGATGAAACAAGGCGAAATGGTGAGAACTTAACATTGGCAATTGAGAAATACGTCATTCGCACAATAAAATTTGAAAATTCCGGAAAGCAATATGTCATTTGCACAATAACATTTGAGAATTGTGGAAAGCAATATGAATCATAGAAACAATTGTTAACCATCAAGAAAGTGTTCAATGACACACAAACTATTGAGACTATTCTTAACTATGAACAAAGTGTCGAATGACACATAGCACTTGAAATTGTGACTAACCATCAACAAAGTGTTGAATGATATCAAACTCTGCATATTTGGAATGTTCACTCGTGCTCGACCATCGAAAAAATGTCAAATGCTATTCTCAGCCTCATATATGGGATGTTCTTTTGCGAGAAATCGAATGGTGGAAAGTGACCTTTCGCTAACAAAGATGCAAAACCTAACATAAAAACACCACAACTGCAACCGTCATGTTGGACAGGCACCCCATCAAGTGATGTCTCGAAAGATGTCGCAAGCTCGTCGACCTGATATCTTTCATGAAGATTCTGACGTCTGAACTTCATTCGAAAAAATACGGCTACTACAGTAACTTCCAGCGCTGCAAGGCGGTCGCCGCGAGGGAGAGAGTCTAATAGCTGGAATTCACATTTGCAACCGTCTATTCTAACACATGCCAAAGCCCAGTGGTCTCCAAAGTTCAAAGGGATAAGTACAAAGTTATAATCGAAAATATTTCTTCCCCTAACCCACTTCATTCCCTCACAGTAAGCAATTCATTCTAACATAGAAATATACGCAGATGGAATGTCCTTCGGACTTTCGTCTTTAATCTGTCCTCTAGACATCAAATTCTCTCTGGCATTATCATTGTCGATCTGGATTGCCAGCAAATACAAATTCACGGCTTCGTCATTCAACCATCCTCCTGCTTCAATGATGAGCATAATGCCTTTCTTTTCCACCTTTCAGTCACCCTTGTAAACAACAATGTCGTATTCTTCGCTTTCTTCACCGGTCCTCACAACCCTTTCAACATACTGCATCTCGCGGTGCAATTTCTTCCCTTGTTTCGTCCCTATTCCCACAACTTTAAACATCCTTAGAGCAGCTGGCCTCATAAACGGGATCGTCACAGGTTGCGCTTGTCTTTTAACTGTTTTGGGTAACAATGGCAGCATTGATAAGGCTTGCAAACCACGATGTATAATTTTCTTATCACTGTTCTTTTGCGAGTGCACGCGAGGGGCTTTCCACAGTCCTTTACACAGGTCTGCACGTTCATCAATGTAGAGAGCACAATCATCATCGATAATAACGAGTAATATGAGTAACGATCATTTTGATATCATTACAAATCCACTAAAACAACATGAATGTAAATGAATATTAATAGCAGTAACGTATTGTGAGTCAAACTATTAAAAGTAGATCGTGTGCTTCATTTACCGATTCGGACGCACTATAAGGCATGCTACATATATGCAAATAAACATGGAACAGTTCCAATGCACAGTAGCATGCAAAACCGAAAAATCATCTCTCGTTCTAGGTACAATATTACACATATATTAACTTCGTAAGGTAAGTGCTCTAACTGCGGTTTTCCCTTGAGCACCGTCTTTTTTTGCATCTCCGAACTGTCTTGATGTGAAAGGGGATTCTTCGATGTTTATCACTTTGACAGATGGGCTGAACTGCTGCACAAGAGTTCGAAGAGTACTTTCTCGTCCTTCCTCCACAAGTGTCAGTTGCTGTGGAGTAGTCAGTACAATATGTCCTTCATCCTCTTCGATGTCCGACACTTGAATTGCTTCTTTCGCCACAAGCCCCTCAAGAGTGTCGTTCTTCCCAGAAGTATCGAATACAATAGGCGAATCCTGAGACCCTCCAATACTAGTATCGAAGTCGCGACCAGGGATGTCTTCATCAAATGGACTGTTAGGTTCGCCGCCCGGTTCCATCTCCTCCGCAAGCATAGCTTCCTCCTGGTAGCCTGTTATAGTACCCGCCTCCTGAGACTCTCGTTGTGCCTTCTCCTCTGATATCGGACTTTGGAATTCTGCAGGAATCTCTAAATCGCCTTTGAGTGTCTCTTCATCAAGTGGAGTGTGAGGCTCGAGTTGCTGTTCCGTTTCCACCAGATACATGGTTTCATCCAATGATGCCCTGAGCCGCCCTTGGCTTTCCAACCCATATGGCAAAATATCCATAGACATCCACATATGGCCTTGTGGGCTACCAATATTGCCCTTCTCACCAACGGGGAAGACACTTGCGCCACTGCCATCACACCATTCATTATCTGTCACGGTGACAACTGTGAGTCTTGTGGTGACACTTTGCCCACCTTCACATCCCTCGTCAACCTGTTCCACTGCAGTAGACAGCTTGACCTGCGGCAAACCACGAATGTCGATGTGCCCTCCTACACCACTGGCGCTTCTCGCACGGTGACGATGGACTTGCCCTTTTGATGTGCCTGTTGTTGGCTGACTATACCCAGGCGCTTCAGATGTTCTTCCACCCTCACCACTCCTTCCCTTATCACCTCCCTTATCACATCCTCCCTCGTCACCTCCGCCCTCGTCACCACTTGGGTGTTCACCTCCCTCTCCACTCGCTCCACCGGTAGGGCCTTGTCCCCTTTTTCCACCGGTCTCATCGCCCTCATCAATGCGCCAGTTATATCCAAATGCCGGGCTTGTTTGTCTGTCATAAAATTCTTCCAAGTACTCAAGTCTTCGCAATGCCTTGAGCTCCTGAAAAACCTCGTTTATGTCCACTCTCGATGAAGCAACATTTGGATTGAGTCGAGCAAGCCGCAACCGGATCTGATTTTCTGCATCTGCATAAAATCGTGATTGCGCCGTACGCCGGTGGGAGCAAAATTGCCACTGCCCATTTTCTTTGATTGCCATCCACGATGCTCTCGATCACTAATTATATTCTCACTATCGTTCCCCTCTTGAGAACCTTCCTCTTCCTCTTCCTCTTCCCTCTGTGAACCTTCGCCACTGCTCCCCTCTCCCGGATCACCGNTATTCTCACTATCGTTCCCCTCTTGAGAACCTTCCTCTTCCTCTTCCTCTTCCCTCTGTGAACCTTCGCCACTGCTCCCCTCTCCCGGATCACCGAAATACAAAGGTTGCACACCACGGTGCACAACACCATACATAGGTTCAGCACACATGCTTGATGTACGCACAATGTCATGTAACACGGACARCGGCTCTTTCACTCCAACCGAAYGGAATTTCTTCGGAGCCGGCGGCGGAGCCTKARCATGAGCCGAGCYCTTGGCAGCGATTTGTCCCGCTCGAGGGACCACCGACGTGGATACRAGAGTGTGTTGTCTCTCTTCCCGGACGGCGGGCGTGGTCACTGATGGCTGTCGAATCGTTATGGCACSCACAGTTGGACGCGCCSATGACARAACACTTTTCGGTTCCGTAATAGTGTCTTCTTTGTGGGCCACCGGACGATGGCCCTCCACCGAATTCGTGTCGAAGMACGCGAGAACTTGGCGGAGGTCAGGTAACCGGAGTCGGCTATCCGGATCAGGATTGAAAACATCCACAAGTGACTTACCATWTCCCTTGTGGTTTCTCCACATGAGAACAACATGGTTCGTCTCTGCAACTCTGTGACCTTTGYCGTTGAGTTGCATAGTTAACTCGAAAGTGGCGAGMTGACCATCCCTCCCTGCCCAAGATTRAATACCACCTATCRGTCTAATATCTTCTCTGAATACCAYGTACAACATCAAACCACTTCCAGCTTGCCCCGCCTCGCCCACCCRGTCCAACATCCAGAATTTATCTTTGTAGTTTATGACGGGAACTTTATCTGCCTGTCCATGCACAGACCTCTCCCCCGAACCTGCCTGCCGCACTGTAKCTTGTGTGCAGCTTCGCTGACCACCACCAGACCCTCGACCGCTCGGACCACCASCAGACCCTTGACCACGGCCACCAGACCCTTGACCGCTCCCCACAGTCCGGGCATGCTGTTCGTCACCCCTGCGTTGACCACTCGACGGACCCAGACGAGATGTAACCCRCTGCACAGRCCCTTGACCAARACCACTGGACCCTCGACCACTCCCCATCGTCCTAACGGTCTCCTCGCCAGCACTGCGGCGACCAGACGGGTCGCCCGAATGAGGCGCACTGCGCTGCGTAGGGGTCTGCATAGCGGAGCTCGACGGTCGGCGCTGCGCAGTACCCCTAGATCCCGGCGTCTCCGCTTTGTCAACCCCAGCAACAGGGGTTGCCTTAGACTTTTTAGGCRAGTTSTCGACACCCGCACTGCTTTGGCGTYGTGAGCGTTTGCCTTGTCTCTCTGAAGAATCCATCATGGATAATGCACGAGGGAGCWGTAAATGTCAAGCTGCARTATGCAAGTACCRACAGGGTAGAAGAAYGAGAAAGAACAGGGTGAGCAATCAGGAAGCAGCACTACCCAAGCTGCGTACTTCCGAACACGACATGGAGCCGAAGGTTGTTGTGTTCAACACGATCCTCAACACTAACACACACAGACACACTAACACACTCAGACACACACTCTGCCGCTGGTTATCGT